TTTAAGTCCAATTAGGTAGTTGTTGATCACCCCCAAGATAAAAGTGTCACTACTGTACCAATATTGTTTGCTGTTCCAGTCATTCATAAGGTTACTAGACCTTAAAGCTAGGGTTGGACCATCGATTGATGTTCTCCTTTGGAAGCTTGCATGGTGTCCTCCAGAACTATGAGAGTGAGTCTTCAGGGAGGAGATTTCCAGGTTAGGTCCACCTCCATTGCTCCAAGTTCTGTGTCTGAAGTATGACCTGTCCTCAACAATAAGATCTTACTTTTGAGTTCTGGAAGACAATCAAGGGCTGTGACAACAGCCTGTGTAATTTGGAGAGTCTCCTGGACAACCCTGGACAACAACTCGAAGGGAGATTTCTCCTGTCTGGAATTGTTTCTTGTTATATAACCTTCAGCTATACACTGAACTCAGGTAGCGATATTAGAAGAGATAAATAATGCTTAGCTGGTGTGAAAACCAGAGCAAAAATGTATTAGTTCAAAGGCCTACTGAAAAATTACACATATTTTGAGTGTTTAAGTATTACTAAAATAGCATAGACTGTGGGCATAAAAATTCTGCAAGACTATAGCTTATATATAATACATGATTCATTTAATGAATAAGATGAACTAATCCATTTTCAATTTTAATGTTTGAAAAAGCTTTTCAACAGAGTTCATCATCAACAAGAGTGTTCCTAAATTTCTCCAAAAAAGCAGCTTAAATTTCAGCACACAGTTTTAGCAAGACTAATCCCCTTCCATTACTGGCCACGGCTTAATCTCTTGGGTTCTTATTCAGTAAGTCAGACACCTATTACAAAGACTATTACAGTTTAAATTCAGAAATCTGAGACAAACTAAAAAGTATTTGATTAATTGCCTTTCATAAATATGTGTTTATTCTTCCACAAAATCCTTTAAATCTGTATTTAAAAATAGGAAAAAGTAAAGTAGTAATTTTAGAAAGAAATCTGGCAGGAAATTTCATACACAAAAGGGAGTGGTCATAACAGAACTGGGCATCTCTATTTATGGGTAAATGTTCTACTTTCAATGTTGCTTTTGGATTAGAAAAACTAGTATCAGTCAGAAAATAAGACAATGGAACTGGGGAAATGGCTCAGTCGGTAAGAGGGCTTGCTGCATAAACATGAAGATCTGAGTTCAAATCCTCAGCACTTACATAAAAAGCTGGGCCTGGTCATGCCTGTATCCATAACCCCAGGTCTGGTGGGAAGATGGAGAGAAGAGGATCTGGCCATCAACCTAACTCCGGGTATAGTCAGACATCCTGTCTCAAGGAATTAAGGCAGAGAGTGATGTATGAGGATCCCCAAAGTCCTCCTCTGACCTCCATTCATGGGGAGGTGTATCCACTACATACACATACCACACACACACACACACACACACACACACACACACGTGCATGTGCATACATGCACACACACACGCATACATTCACTGAATGAATACAGTGATTTTTTTTTTAAAGACACACACATAGCTGGGCACGGTGGTGCATGCCTTTAATCCTAGCACTTGGGAGCCAGAGGCAGGCAGATCTCTGTGAGTTCAAGGCCAGCCTGGTCTATGTAGCAAGTTCCAGGACAGCTTGGGCTATAGGGAAACCCAGTCTTAAAAAAAACCAAAAAAAAAAAAAAAAAGACACACATGCATACACATAATTTAAAACTGATCTTTAAACAACAAAAAAGGCTGAAGAGATGGCTCAGTGGTTAATGGTGCATAGTGTTCTTCCAGAGGATCTGAGTTCAAATCCCAGTATCCATGTCCCATAAATATTTTTAACTTAAAAAGAAAATAAGACAATGGCTCAGACCCTGTCTGAATGGCTCAGATGCCATTCTGAGCAAGCCATATATATATGATTCAGTAAAAGTAGCCATCAAAGATTCTTATAGATTGAAAAATATGAAACATGGAATAGTTGATAACCATCCTGAGTACTCTTATTTCTGTGTACTATTATTACATGTGTTCATCAAATTATGTAGTTAGTATAGAGTGTTATTACTTTGTAACACATCCATGTCTTTAACATATAAATATAGTGTGTGTCCCTGAAAGAGGAGGAAGCATTCTTAGAAATGCATCATTAGATGATCTCATCATTGTACAAACGTCATAGACTTCACAAATGTAGATAGTATTGCAAAGTACATATGCAGGCTATATATACATATATGGTGTTTATTTGCTATGACCTACTGTTCTAAGGGCCATGATGAACAAAACAGTTGGAGATTAAATAAAGCACAAGAGAAAATTATGTGATCAAGAGATGCTGTAAATATGAGATATATGAGGCTGCTATTGGCAAAACACAATCCAACATTTTACAGAAAGCTCTTTTATATGAATATGAGTACACTCTAAAATAGCAAGAACTATAGCTCTGAGGCAGAGTATGTGCTTAGCATTCACAAAGATCTAGGCTCAATCCTCTGCATCAATCAGTTGATCAATAATAGCATAGTATAGTTTAGTATAGTACATCGGTAATGTAGTAAGTACCAAAGTATATCATTGGTAAGTATTGCACACTGCACATAGTTGTATGTGCCATTCTTTCATATGATTGATAATGCAGTAGGTCTGTTTACATCAATGTGACTACAAACATATGAGACGTACCTTTCTAATATTTTCTAGCCCCTTTATTTTGCCTTCGACTTTTTTTTTTTTAACTTTTCTTTGTATTATAGCTTTCTCATAGGTTGGTGAATAAACATCAGGTTCCTGAAAACAGGAGTTGTTTCTCCTTTAGAGCCTCTCAAATGCCTTACACAAATGTTTGAGAAGCACAAAAGCCTCTCAAAAAAGTTCGGCAAATCAATAAGTCAAAGACTGTCAAGTCTCAAGGGGAATTTAAAGGGGAAAACCAAACAAGCTAAATTAAAATCAACTAGTTTTTAGTGAAGTTAGTCATCATCATTAAAGGAACGGAGACAGTTTAACATCTAACATTATATAATCAGAATTCTTTTTAGAGATACTTGAGATTTTTAAATTTGAGGTGTCATAATCAGGGTACAATTATAGTAAAAAAAAATTCAAGTCACTACAGTCTGACTATATTATAAAGAAAACCAACAAACAGATCTACTCAGTGATTTTATAGCAGATTAAAACACTGTCAGTCAATAGTACAGAAAACCAGAGCTTCTGGTCATTTGAGAATGGCAGTAGACCTGTCCTTTGATGAAACAAAAAGGAATTCATTCTAAGGCAAGAGTCCTGTTTCTTTTCAGCTTTTTTAAATTATCATTTTAAATTGCCACTTACAGAATCAAGCTTAGTAACTTATTTTTCTCCAGTCAAAGAGCAAGAGATAAAAAGATATAAAGAACCCTGTCTTTAACATAAATAACATTGACATCACAATATTTATTGTGCATTTTCTGTGAGCTAGACCTTTTTAAAAGTCCTTTCTATGCATTATTTCACTAAATCCTTATAACAACTTGCAGGGTAAAGACAACTATCTCCCCAGTTAACTGAAGAGGTTAACATGTTCATGGACACACAGCTTGTTAAGTGGTAGAATTATGACCCATACTAAGGCAGACTAATTACATGTGTCATGCATTGCATTGTTGATTCTTCATTTAATTGTCACAAGAATCCTATGATGTAAATAATTATTTTCCCTCATTTTATGAGTAACATTAATTTTTAGTGCAATTAAATTGCATGAGGTTACTAAATGGCAGAGCCTAGACTGGACTTCTTTCAAAATCCCACCCCAACTCTGATTCTAATGGGATCGTTGGAGTAGTTTCCAGGTGGTGAGAGAGGGAGTCTAACTTCTTTGTCTTGGTCAGTCCTGATATGATACTTAATTTAAATATTAGCTTCCTACTTAGGTCAGTTTGCTTTTAATATATAACTAGTTGACACTATTTCCAAACAGAGCTTCTAAAATTAGAATTCCGGTTACATGGCATCCTAAATAAGAGAAATATTCTAAAGCCCATGAGAACTTAAAGTTAATTTCATTTTAAAAATCGATGAACAGGGCTGGAGAGATGGCTCAGTGATTAAGAGCACTGGCTGCTCTTACAGAGGACCTGGGTTTGAATCCTAGCACCCACATGGTGGCTAATAACTATATATAACTCCAGTTCCAGGGGATCTGACACCCTCTTCTGACCTCCTTGGGCATTATACGACATGGGTGCACTTATGTTTGTGCAAGCAATACATATATATATATAATATATACATATATAATCCAGGAACATTTATGCATTATCTTCTTTTTCTTGAAGAAAGGCCATAAAGACAAACAGAAATGACTGGAGGCACGTAAGTTCATTTTTTTTTTAATTGCAGATTACTGAGTACTAACTTTTAAGGATACCATAGGAAATCCTAGGTGAAGCTGAATTCTCTAATCTTCCTCTTAGTTAAGTGGTATGTAACATACCATCTTTTTATTATAAACTTTTGTTAAATACATATACCATGCTGTAAATATGTATTATATTTAATTAAATGAAAATTATATAAAGCTTAAATAGAAGTGCAAATAATGAAAATGGATGAGTTATGTGGAATAAAAAAGAAAGCTGTATTAAGAATGAATGTGTCTGACCCGGGGCAGGGGGTCAAATAATGAGAATGTTAGTGATAGCCTTGACATTCAAGTAAAAGCATTTGGACCTGGTTATTGACAGCAGGAACTCTCAGAGAGTTTATCATAGGATACTCTAGGACTATTAGGCTAACCAATATAATCATGACATTGAGAATAAATGTTTGCTAATTCAATAAAATTTACTGAACACTATGCTAAGTAATGATATAAATGAAAATAAGTCCTGTTCTTCCACAAGTTCAGGAGGGCAAAGGCAGACAGAGAGCCCAGGAAGATCTGGTACACACTCAAGACACAATGAAATGTGGCAAGTGACATGAGTTGCCTGTCAGGGGCTATCAGAATAAAGAATAATTACAGTTTGCAAATTAGAGATGATGGATGTAACCAACACTAAGGTGTTGCTAAGGATGTAACAGTTCAAGCTAGTCTAGGAGGACAGCTAAAGAGAAAAGTCTGTTGCAGTAATCCAGACTAAGAGTGTCACTAAGATAACTGTGATGGAAACGAAGGCAGTGTCAAAGACTGCATCTAGAGTGTCTCTGCTGATAGCAAAATAGAGCCTAAATCATCTTTCCCCAAACTCATTTGACTATGTTGATGCTTGAATGCTGTAGACATTTTTCAGCTATATTCTAAAGTCATGGAAAAATGACACAAACAAAATAAGTTTCCAGTAACCACATTCTACAAATTAAACCAAGCTGAAGTTTAAAATAATGACAACTTCCTCCAGCAGGTACCAGTAAATCATGTTTCCCCACATTTAAGATTTGGAATCAGGAAACTCTGTTATCTCAAGTCACAACCATGCTGACTCTCTTTGCTTGTATTAGGTAACATGTGAAAGATTATGTCATTGTGGACAAGAAGGGACATCAAATGCGGGACAGGAAGATTTGCAAGACAGCCAAAGAAGAGGAAGATTATTGGCTCCTGTTTTCATAAAATATCATTGAGACAAAATATCCTTTCCATCTTGGATATTCAAGTTCCATTTCTCATAGGGATCAAGTGTATCACTTATGAAAACCTATCTTCATCTCTATAATGAAAAGGATTGAAACTCTAGAACAAATTGTGGTTCATGTCACACAAGTAAAAAAGAAATTAAGGTACAGAGTCTTAGCCTCAAATGAGTTGTTTTCAAGAAAACAATTGAAAAGCAGAACACTGAGAATGCAGCGCAATTAAATATATATGTAAAATATGTGTTTTCACATACAAAAACACTTAAGTCTCTGCAGAGTAGCAGTTTAGTTCTTTTAGGAAAGTTACTCCTATGAAAAGTAACTGTTTCTTTAAGGACCAGGACAGAAAATGCAAGTCAAGAGGGAGAGGAGACAGGCTGCACACTGCTCCAATGAGGTCCTGGGAATCTTGCTGAGAGAGGATGTCCCCCGCTGGACTAAAATATCTGTTGGGAAGTGGAAGGAAAATAAGAGCACAGTTAGGCAAAGAAGTGCTTAAAAATGTATGCTTGACTAAATCTTTTAATCTTACAGAGAATAGCAGAACAAGGCTTTTTTTTTGGACAATTTCATCTATATCTAATGCATCTTGATTATATTCACCCCCATCACCTTCCCATTGAACCCCTTCTTCCCAGCTCGGCTCCTTCCTACTTTTGTATCTTCTTTGTGACCCACTGAGTTTAATTAGGATTGCTTCCATGAGCATAGGTAGGGGAATAGAATAAGGTTTTAAGAACAAAAATTTTATCAGATTGGATTAGATGCTAATGGATGTTAGCAACTTCCATTTCAGAGAAAGTATCAGAAACACCCATCCCCAGTAGAGAAGGATTAAACACAATTTCAAAATCTCCACCTCTTAGGAGATATGGCTGTAGCTAGAAGTCAGTGCTTAGCACAAGGACAACCTTGTGGGTTCAGCTCCCACCTTTATCCTCCCCTCCCCCCAAAAGTCAAGTTCAAATCTGGGACCATCAATTAATAGTAATGACTGTGTATCAAAAGTAGCGGTCCACTTAGGTTTCTTTCCCTCTGTTCTCAAAAGCACGCCCCACTCCCCTTCTGCATTCCGATGACTGCTGACTCTAGTTCTTCTGATACTATCACATATTTTACATATTTAGGGGATAAAATGTCGACGTGGGTAAACTATGTCATTTTAGTGACAATAGCTGTCAAGTGCTCTCACATAAGACATTTGTAATTAACACGCAGTGTCTTTCGCCTCTTGATCTTTAACGTGACTCCCACTCCCTCCGTCCCCACTTATCCCGCATTCGTTTCCCCACAGGTAGAAGCCTTAGTACTTTTGGTACTAAGGGTCCCACTCGACTGTAAAACAAGCAGGAAACAACAAAATAGGGTGCAAGAAGTCACTCCAGTCCACTGTGCCGGAGGTGAAGGGCTCTGGCCGCGCCAGCAGGGATCCGAATGCCAGGCGGCCACCTGGAACGCCGGAGGGAGGGGATGGCCGGAGGCGGGAGATGGTACCCGCGGCGGCAATAGCCTTCTTCCCTGGACGCCTTCAAAGTCCCGCGTCCAAGTTGTAACCTCTTGCTCCTTTGCAGCCATTGCCTGTCTAGTGGACGGCTAAAGAGAAAAGGGCACGTCAGTAGAGAGAGGGGATCGAGTCTGGCACGTCGCTGGAAGCCCTGGCCGCGGCGCACGACCGCCGGACCTCAGCTAGTAGACCTAGGCTGGACGCCCAGGCGCAGCCCAGGGCGAGACCCACCGCGGCGCCCGGCGGGGAACTACAGCTCCCGGCAGGCCCCGCGCGGGCCGCGCGCCCCCGCCCGCGCGCCCCGGCCCCCCGCCCTCGGGCCTCAGGACAGGACGGGAGGGAAGGAGAGAGGGAGGAAGGGGCGCGGGCAGCGGGTGGGATCGTGCAAGGCGCGTGAAGCCTCGCTGGCGCCTGCTCCGGGACGCGGACGCTGGCGGGCGCGGACTTTCTGCCGAGGGGCCGAGCGCACCTCTGTAAGTAGTCGCCTCAGGGAGCGCGGAGCAGACACCGAAAAAAGTTCTCGCGGCCGCAGCCGCCGCCGCGCTTTGTTCTCCAGGACCGTCGGGCCGAGGCGGCAGCCCCTCCCCCACGCCCGCACGCGGCGGCGGCACCGCGGCGGGACTCGGACCCGCGCGGGGCTGGGCGGTGGCTGGGCGGGAAGTCGGGGCGGGGGGGGGGCGGTTTTTTTTTTCCGTGGTCCGCGCCGAGGCCAAGTTAGAGTCGCGCGTCGGCGGGTGACCCACCTAGCCCGGCCTCGGGGACCGTCTGTTCCCGGGTCCCGCAAACTAGTTCTGCCGACGGCGCAGCGCGGGACGAGCCTGGCTGGGTCTTCGCTTCGCCGCGCGAGGTCCGGGGCTGAAGGGTGAGTGGCGGTATTAGGAGAAGGGAGCTCCTGACCCCGGGCTCCCGGCGGCCTTTGCTGGGACTCGTGCTGGTCCCTGGGGAGGTTTGCATTAAGATGAAACACCTTGGAGTGTGAAGCGGTGGAAACCAGCCACGCTCTGCACGACCCGTTGGCGTGTCGGATGCTTCATTTCGGGTCGTCGACCTCGGTTGCATAGGCCGTGCTGTCCGCAAACACGAATGTAAATCAAGGGACAGGCGACCTGCAGACTTTTCCATACCCAGATTGATGGCATGGACGTAACTGTCTCTTCTACCACACCCGTCGCCACAGGAAATAAGACTATCATATCAGTGTCATCTTTGATTAGGAAGGATAAGTTACACCCTGAAGTAGGACGGGGCCTTTGTGAGCCTAGTCACAAATAAAACAAAAACTTTTTCAATGCCTTAAACATGTGTACCCTGGAAAAGGTTCTTAATGCTAAACATGCTTTTACTTGGTACCTAGTCTGTTTTTCGCGATTTTAATTTGGCTTAGCTCACGCTTGAACTTTCAATGAGGGCAAAGAAGTCTGTGGGTTTGCTGCACAAGGCTTCCATTAAGTTCCCCAACTCAGGTCTCAATCAGTTTTGCTCAATAGGAACACTTTTCCCCTCTCCAGTTATAATCTGGAGTGGGATAAAATATAGCAATTTGACCAGAAACAAGGTGTTGCAAATTGTTTGTGGAAAGTATTGTTTTAAAGCGCGTTACAGGAACCTTCACCATCGTTTTTACTTCATAGGGTAGTTTTAGATGCCACGGACCTGAGTGCATGAGTTTGATAAGTTAGTCCTAAAGCAGTTAACATTTCAGTATTGCTAAGATTAAAAGGATTTTCTCAAAAAATTTCCCTTTGACAGTTTCGTACATGTATATAATACATTCTGGTCACACTTCATCCCCCACCCTCCTTACACCCCTTCCACCTCCAGCTCCTTAAAGAATTGTCTTCTATATAATAATGATCTTCTAGTTATGAACATTTTATAAGCTTTCGGTTTCATCAGATGACCTGATTGGTAAAGTAGACATTTCTGTCTGCTTGTGGATTGTTTTTAATCTAAACACTGCACCCCTAAGCCACAATAAGTTAAATTTTAAAAATCAGATGAGTTGAAAACACCTCATATAGTAACAAAAAGGTTAAGTGCGCTTTTCACAAAAAGGAAATTTTCTCATGTTTCAAAAGAATTCTAAAGTTGGCAAAAATATTAATTGTAGTGCGGTTGTTTGTTTTTCAAAAGTACTTGTATAGAACTTGATGTATGATAATAATTACCTGTACCTAATTTGATTAGACACCTAATTGGATTTAATAATCACAGTCTCTTCCGCTAGTGATACTTTGAGTCTCTCAGGATATGTAATTTAAACTTAAGTTGCCTCTTTGGAGTAGTCATTTTAAGAAAAAAAATGAGATAAGGTATTTAGGAGATGTTTTCATTTAGGCTTAATTTCAATATGGATAAAAAGTTTTCTCCTCTTGTGTGGTTAGCTTATAGTGGTGGTGGTAAGTTGCTCATTGGCTATTAGCCAATCAGATTTCTTAGTACTGGTGCAATGATGAAGATGTAGCAAGCGCATCATAGCTTCATGTGCATTCCAGACTGGCAGTCTGTAATCTGGATATCTACTTCAGTGCCTAAGCAGAGAGCCTGACAGTGGAAGGACCGAGATGTAGTGCCACTGGCCTAGATGAGCAGAATTTTTTTTTTTTTTTGTTTTTTTGAGACAGGGTCTCCCTGTAGTCCCAGCTGACCTGAACTCACTGTGTAGACCAGCAGGCTGGCCTTGAACTCACAAGGATCTGCCTGCCTCTGCCTCCCGAGTGCTGGGATTAAAGGCGTGCACCACCACGCCCAGCAGATGAGCAGAATTTTAAAAGGAGCATTTTAATGGATTATGGGGTCTCAGGAGTGGAGAGTATTATATTAATGTAAGGGAATAGTCATGTTTCTGAAATATATAAATAGGTGTGGGTATTGCCACAACGTGTGATTTTTTTTTAATCTAAGAAGATACTTGATTTTTTGCATAATATACAACATAAAAGCAACTTGAGGATTATTACTCCCCCCCCCAACGTGAGGATTATTAATCAAAATCAAATGTCTGTCGAGGCAAAACATGGATATTGACTTCAGCGCTGGTCAGTTATTGCACTGAAAAGGTCGCATACATGCTAAAGGTTGCATTACATGCTAAAGCAGTACATGCACATATCAGCATGGGTGTGGAGACTACACTTCATTGGCAGTCCTAGCACAAAGAGCTAATTAAACCTGGATGACTTTCTAGGAGTCATGGTAAATGTTATGCTATTCCAAAGGAAAAGCATTTTTTCTTTTCCCTTTAACATTTGCTGAATGCAGAAAGAATGCTGCCTATCCTAAATGAGAACATCCTTTTGAAGTATTTAGTATGTTTTGTCTTCCTGGAATCCTCTTACTTCTTTCTCTCTTCTTTTCTTTTTCGTTTTCTTTTTTTCGTCTTTGTTTTTTGAGACAGTGTCTCACTGTGTAGCCCTGGCTTGACCTGGAACTTGAACGCACTATGCAGACCAGGCTGGCCTCGAACTCACAGAGCTCCACCTGCCCCTGTCTCCTGAGTAGGAATAGAATACTGGGATTAAAGGTTTGCTCCATCACAGCCAACTGCCTCTATTTCTTTAAAGGGACCTTCCCTGAGATCCCAGCTGAAATTAAGTCTCCTTGATATGTACTCTGTCATACTGCATCTCATAGTTTGTAATTACCTAGTTACTTATGTAAATGTTTAATGTCTGTGAGTTCCAGAAAGAGCACTGACCATGTCTGTTTCTGTTACACTGTGTAACTTCAGGGTCTCTCATAGCACTCTGGCAAGTACCAAGTACTCAATAAGCATTCCTTGGGGAAACTGCCTCTATGAGTGCTTCTTCTAATTGAGACTTGGTTAAGGTAGGACATAATGTGTTGCAAGGAAGTGACTGAGAGCAAAAGAAGATAGATCAGCTTGTGACATTACCATGAGTTATAACTCAGTCAAGTCCCCTAATCTAATCTACAGGTTCTTTGTTTTACCTTGTCTATAATAATTGGGCACACCGGGCTCAAAATACTTTTGTGTGTATGTGTGTGTATGAGTGTATTGCCTACATGTTTGTAAGTGCACCTGTTTTGTGCAGTGCTTGCAGAGGTCAGAAGCATGTGTCAGATCCCCTGGAACTGGTTACCAATGGATGTTAACCACTATGTGGTGCTGGGAATTGAACCCCGGTCCTCTGCAAGAGCAGCTAGTACTCTTAACTGCTGAGCCATCTCTCCAGCTCCCCCAAATACTTTTTGTATTAGTCATTTTCCTGTTGCTGTGATAGAAACACTGACCAAAGCAATTTATAGAAGAATTTATTTGAGCTTACGGTTCCAGGGGAATTACAGTGTGTCATGGCAGGGAGGCGTGGTGGCTGGAGCAGGAGCCGCAGAAGCTAAGCTCTCACATCATCACAGGCACAGGAAGCAAGAGAACAACTGGAGATCTGGCAAGGCTTAAGAACTCTCTAAGCCCACCTCCAGTGACATGCTTCCTCCAGGATAGCCACACCTTCTAAAACCTTCCAAAACAGTGCCATCATCTGGGGACAAAATGTCCAAATACTTGGAGCCTATGGGGGACATTTTCATTCAAACCACCACACTTTTAATATCCTGTTTTTTGATTCCATGCAGTAATGGTGACAGATTATGTAAGTTCATTTGAATGGAGTATGTGACAACTCTGTAAAAAGAGTATTTGAAGAATGTCATATAAACGTATTAGAAAATCTGGACAAGTAGACTATGCTCTCATTTTCCATTTCTATTTGAAACAAATACAATAAAATGAGCAGCATATAAATGATAGTTGTTAGATTTCTTACAGAGTAAATCAAGATTCCATAAACAAAACAACAGAAGCAAAAACAGATGGGGTGAGTGGGCAGAAGCTACTATGACAGCTTCTTATAGTTATATTCATACTGAAACTTTGTTGTTGTTGTTGTTGTTGTTGTTGTTTGATAGGATCTCCCTAGTCATAGGCCGCCTATGACATAGGAGGTCACGATGTGAACCAGGATGGCCTCGCAGAGATCCATCTGCCTCTGCCTCCAGGCTGGGATTAAAGGTGCAGGCCACGTTTTATGACCTTCGTTCATACTAAAATTTAAAACTTAAAACTACTTTGGTATAAAATTACATGTAATTTATTAGGAATACTTGTCATTCTGATAATTTAGTCAAATATGTTATTAGGCTGTTACTGTTATTTAGTTAATATCAGGTAGTATAATAAAAAGGAAACTAGTGGAAAGGTATTGATGCTAATTCCCATAAGAATGCTAAAACTCACTGAGTGGTTTGGGCACTTACAGTGAGTCTGCAGGTACTGTTATCATTACATGCAGATGCTCAGTCCTTACAACTGTGATGCAAGCAAGTGGTGCCCTTATTTTCATTTTATCTCTCCTCTGCATAATACTGAATAAAACCAATTTTTCTCTTAACACTTCCTCATATATTTGAGGATCACTCGTTCTTTTTGGTTAGACTAAACATTTATCACGTGATGTTTTTACCTTTATCTGGATGTATGCAATTTTTTATTTCAAAACCTAAAAATCTGGAGCTCTAAAAATCTGGACCATAGACTAAATATAATAGTGATATGGACTGACAACAAGTGTGCAGATTAATGTTAATGGCTTTTTGGTGTCCAGAGGATTTAGGCTTGCATTAGTTCTTTTGGTTACTCATTATGTTAACAGCTCACATGAAGCCTTGGAGGCATAACCCACTCTCATGAATAGCTTCCAAGTCAGCATTTCCCTGTTTCTGTGTTGCACATTTAACTTTGAATTTATCCTTGGTGAATTTAATTTTATTTTATTCGCTCCAGGTTTGTTCAACCTGATAAACAATCATCTGTGTCTTTACTACCTCATACCATAATGAAAATATAAGGCTAAGGACTGTTTAAGGCACTTCCCTAAGGATTTTACTCATGTCAGTTGGCATATAGGAGATTTTACTACACTGACATCCATTTCAAACTCACCCAACATGTTTACAAATATCATGTGGAAAACCATGCTGAATACTGTTTTTGTCAAAGTACACATTTTTATTTCCCTGGCTTTGCTTAATTTTGTGGTCTTGAGCAAATACTTTACGCTATGAAGTTTTGCTTTCTCAACTATAAGATGGATTGTTGTGGGGATTAAATGAGGTAATATGTGGAGTTTAGATCAGTGTCTGTAAGAGCTTAGTGAATCTAATTATTACTCTCTCCATCTAACAAGTCTATTGTCATTCTTTGTGAAGTTACAAATGTGATGGCCGTGGCCTTTCTTATTTTGTGTGAATTTAGGTGACATCTAGTAACCGTTATACTCTCTGCTTATTCACAAATCATTTAATTAATAATCTAGTCTCAGATTTGGCTAAAGATTTATAACATTATTTGTGTAATTTCTACAATTTGCTGACCTGCTCTCTATCCTCCAGCACCTGAAACCACTTTGCCCTCTCGGGTCATGGCCACTTCTCTCATTTTGAGCTCTCTGTCCAAGATTATTGGAGTAACCTTCATGATTAAACTTGCTCATTGCTTTAGCTGTATGGAATGAGCTGCATCTTGGCCCAGAAACCTGCACTCACATAAAGCTGTTTTAGAATCCCAGCGCTCAGGAGGTAGAGGTAGGAGGATTATAAATTTAAGGCCACCCTGAGCTATATAGTACGTTTGGGGTTGGCCTGGGTCATATAGTGAGACCCAGTCTGAAAAGAAAAGATATAAAAAATAAAGTCATTTTATTCTCTCTTATTTGTAAAGCTCAGGTTTCAGTTCTCTGCTTTAGTTTAAAAACTGTTGGGAGAAGATAAGCAAGATACAAGTTGAGCAATTCTTTCTGTGTAATCTCTCAACCTTAGCAACATCCTCTGTGAGCAGTGATTCTCAGTTCCTTGTTAGCTTTGAGAAACAGTATGTTATTGTAAAGACAGTACTGGTCAGAAAGCCTGAAACTTGGGTTCTAATTCCCACTTCACTTATTCATAGCCATGTGATACTAGGCAAGTTGTTTTATCACTTTGTGCTTTGGTTTTCTCATCTGCAAAAGTGATAGCATTTTCTTGTCAATTTCAAAAAAAGATATGAGACATACTATGTAGGACATTTATGAACTATCAAGTGCTATAAAATACAAGATCAAAAAATAGTCACTTAAATGTAGCTATAAATGTCTTTAATCAATGTTTTATACTTAGTTTTTCAGAGGTTGCTCATTTGTGTTATTGTATCTTTATGTTTTTGCTTTTCTATCATTCATTTTAATTTAGCTCCATTAACTACTTTTCATAGAGTCACTCTGCAAACACACTGGATGTTTCATATTTTCAACATTGGAATTATTTTTGGGTACAAAGAATTTAGAAGAACCCATCTCTTGTAAACCATTTAATTTGGTCATGAAGGGACATGGTTTTTTATTTCTTTGTTTCTTTTTTAGCTTTTTGAACTGTGTTTTCCTAAAAACTGATGCATAGTTTACTGTTCATAGTGTTCTTTTCATTAGAAATATTTTATGATGAGATGACTTTCTCCTTTATTCCTGTCATAAGTTTATCAGCTTTTGCCCTTCTTCATAGGCCATTGGATTGTCTGTTATATCCTGTTCTGCTTCTTATGGCTTCTGAAAGGTATTTCTCAACAAAGCAGTCTGCAAAGCATACTTTGGCAGAACTTGACTCTTTTTTTTGGGAGGGTGGGGTATCAGGTATTTAACCTAGGGCCTTGTACTTGCTACTGAGGTATATTCTCACTAGACTCAATTATTTAAAAAAATATAAGAATACACTAAGATTACCTGTATTGGGAAATTATGTCTTTTATGTGGCTAAGGTCATGTGTATTTTATGCCTGTGATGTTCCGTTTTACTTTTCTATTTTGTCCCTTCTGCTTTCTCTATTTCATATCAATAACTGAATTGTGTAGTTATAGAATAACAGTGTTTGATATTCATAAATTTAAAATATGATAAATTATAGCTGGGTGCAGTGGTGTGTGCCTATAGTTCTAGCTACTCAGGAGGTGAGGCAGGAGGCTCTCTAGAGCTCAGGAATTCAAGGCCTGTCTGAGCAACATAGTGAGACCCTCATCTTAGAAAGAAGGAAATTAATTAAAAAATTTTTTAAAAATACAAGTTTCAGGAGTAATTATCACTAAAAATTATAGAGATTCTTAGATTTGTTAATTATGTCAAATGAATATAAACATTAAAAACCTTTTTTAAAAATTTCTTCTAGGCTGACAGCATTTCAGAAGGCATCAGCTTTTCTTCGTGGACCCATTCATCAAAGGAAATATGTTTGTACTATTTTTAAAAGCTTTTTACTTCATCAGACAGAGGTTCACCCCCCCAGAATGAAAGTTAGTACATATGAAAGGGTAATTTACTGTGTGACTATTTGAGGTGTCCCATCAGATCACTGAACTAATACATTATCCAGAACACTGCTTTTAATCAGGAAGATTTCATCTTGACCCCCCAAAAAAAAACAACAACAAAACAAAACAAAAAAAACGCTTGTATTCATTGTGTTTTCTGAAATGGAAAGCAGAAGACAAGAACAGACTTAAAATAAGTGAATGTTTAGTAAATAGTCTCACGGAGATAACTTAGTGGTATGAAATCAGCACAGATCTCTGGTTGTGGTCCTAAAGACAAGATTCTTAATGGGACTGATAATAAGAGGCCCAGGACCTTTTGTGCATCCAACTCTCAGTGATAGAATGTGTAGTCGTCGGCATGAGTGGTTCAGCAGAAGAAATAAAGAAGCTTTCGTCTAAATCCAGAAGTGGAGTCATTTTTTTTCACTGTTGTTGTTTTGAAACCTTCTTCCTAACTGTTTAAAAAGAATTGACAACTATTTTTAAAGAAAGGCAGATGTCTGCAAATAATTCCCCTCCATCAGCCCAGAAGTCTGTATTACCTGCAACTATTTCTGCTGTGCTTCCAACTCCTTCTCCGTGTTCAAGTCCTAAGACAGGACTCTCAGCCCGGCTCTCTAATGGAAGCTTCAGTGCACCATCACTCACGAACTCGAGAGGCTCAGTGCACACAGTTTCATTTCTACTGCAGATTGGCCTCACAAGGGAGAATGTTACCATTGAAGCCCAGGAACTGTCCTTATCCGCTGTCAAGGATCTTGTATGCTCCATTGTTTATCAGAAGGTATTGTGCAAGCTATTCATGTCAGTAGTTTTTTTCTAATTAATACTGTTTCTCATGCTTCTCTATAATTTATTCATGAACAATGAGTTAACACATATGAATTCAGTAATTTCTGACCTGATTATGAGCATTTTTGGAAATGTTCTAAATAGATGATGAGCTAAAAAGTCTGAAGTTTCAGAATCTGACTAATGAGAACCTAATTCCATTTTTAAACTACTACTTATCCCAGCTTTAAAATACTGATATGTATCCCTTAATAGCAGAAGAATTTATAATTAGGAGACATATAAAATCCTTGGTCTTCAGAGAAAAAGATCAAGGGGTAGTGGGCATGTAACATTGAGGTGGCTTACCCGAAAGGTGATCTAGCAGCTGCTGGGTCCAGTGTCCACCCACCCTTTGTGCTTTCCACATACCATTTTGCCCTCTTTCATACCCTTTTCCTTCTCTTTGGATGCTGATTATCTTTCAGAGAGGATGTTCAGAATCTGCCTAAACTACCATTTAATGTAGACCCACATTCTCTTTTCTCTCTTCCTCTTAAGTAAGTCAAATTTGAATATATGACAGATTATTTGAAAATTCAGGGTGGTGAATTTTGTTTCCCATATATCCACCTCTTGCCCTATCCTATGCCATTTTTTAATGAAACATTAGATGCTTTAACCTTGACCTAATGGATAAACTAGAATATTTTCTATTTATTATGAATTATTTATATGCATTATATTAGTTAGGTTTAATTTTTTTTTTTTTTTTTTTTTTGAGATAGGGCCTCCCTGTAGCCTCAGCTGGCCTGGAATTGCCATGTAGACTAGGCTGGCCTTGATTTCAAAGAGATCAGCCTGCCTCTTGCCTCCTAAGTGCTGAGATGAAAGGCGTGTGCCATGCATGATGCTGAGCTATTTTACTTTTAATGGACCAACAATATGCTTCAAACTTGCTTCAAACAATCATGTAGACTCTCTGTGTATAAAAACTGTCTCTTGAGGCAGGGAAAATGGCTCAATTCATAAAATGCTGTGTGAGCATGTGGACCTAACTTCAGATCCCCAACACCCTCTTAAAAAGCTAGACATAGCAGTATGTACCTGTAGTTCCAGAACCAGGGACCTGGAGACAGGCCACCCAGTCCAGCCAAATCGGTAAGCTTTTAGGTTCAATGAATGTCTCAAAATATGAGGTGAAGAACAATTGAGGAAGACACCCAGAGCCAACCTCTGGTCTCCACACACACTGGTACCCACATGTGTACACATAAAACATAGTCACCCAGTCTTATTAGAATATGCATATTCAAATTCTTCATCTTATTTTTGTTTCTGTTCCTTTGCTTTATATGGTTTGTTATTAGCTTCTGATTTAAAAGTAGTTATTAGTCCAAAAATGTTACACAGATTGTGATAATGACCTCTTGTGTTCTACCAGTGACTTATGTGAATATGGCCTAAAGTAAGAGTACCTGGGCTGGAGAGATGGCATAGCAGTTAAGAACACTGATTGCTCTTGCAGAGGACCCACATTCAATTCCCAGCACCCACGTGGCAGCTAACAACCATCTGTATCTCCAGTTTGAGGGGATCCGACTCCCTCTTCTGATCTCCACGGGCATTGCACAACATGGGTGCACTAACACACACGCAAGCAATACACTCATAACATAAAAAAGTAGAAGTACCTTTACCTTTGTAGATGTTTAGAATCATTTGTTTGCTTACTTATTTATTTTCTTTTGAGGTGGGATCTCACTCTGTTGCCTGGGCTGGTGGTGGACTCAGGCTCTCCTGCCTCTGTCCTCTTTAGCTGGCACTCCCAGGCACACATCACCTTGTCCAGAATCACCTTTCAGTATCTTCATTTTTAGTTTCCCTTTCTTTACATACTACGTAAGTTCACAAATACTTCTGCCACTGTTGAAACTTTTAAAATACATTTATTTTTATTTTAGTGTATGAATGTTTGCCTGCATGTATATAAATGCACTACGTGAGTGCAGTGCCCACAGAGGCAGAACAGGATGTCAGATACCCTGGAACTGGAGTTATGGGTGGTTGTTAGCTTCCATGTGGGTGCTAGGATTGAACCCAGGTCCACTGGAAGAACAGCAAGTGTTCTTAACTGCTGAGCCATCTCTCTATCCCCACTGTTGTAACTTTTAAACTTAAAAGTAATGTTTAAGCTTAAATGCAATTTTTAACTCAAGTATATTTCCTTTTAAATATGAGCGTGTAGAGCTCATAACCATTGATTTGGTGGAATCTGTTTGCTTGTTTTTTTGTTTTTTAATTGACAAAAATATACATATTTATGTGCAGCATGTTAAAATATGAATACATTCTATGCCTAAGTCAAGCTATTTAACTTGATTTATATCTGATTGTTTACTTCCTTGGATGACCTCATTTACTTATTTATCCAAGTATAAATTGTTGTAAATTAGCTCTGTTATTTATGACTTTGGGCAAGTGATTTTACTTCTTTGAATCAGCTTCCAGATCTGTCAAATCACTGAGTTGAGGTGGTTTCTAGTATAAGTTTATCTGTGAAAGTGGGTTTTCACTGCAGGGGACAGATAAATGAGAAAGGAGTTTCAAGGTATGGGTGAGAACCCCTAAGGCAACCAGCTTAGATTCTTGGATTTTATAGACATCTTCATGGATCCGTATCTCATTTTGTATTTGGAAAACTGTGTCAGAACTTCTTACTTTCTCCCTTGTCTTAGCAAACTTGCTTTCTAGTCCTCCGTTTTCGTTGCCTGTGTGTATACAGTTTCAGGCTAACTCCCAGGTTCTGAAATAATTAGCTGAGTGATATTCGACAATTATTTTGGATCTCCTAAGAAAGATGCTATTTAATAATCATAATTTTGGTGCCATATGCCGAGAGTATTATCTTTCAAGTTAGTAGAAATGTTAATTCCTGTCAGTAAATGTTCAAGATTTCTAAAATAATGAAATAGCATACATGAATAATAATAATAGCTATCATTTATTGAATGGTGTACCTGATTCTGTTACAGCGTGTTTATATATATTTCATTATTTTTTTCACAGCTTCTTATGTATGGTGGTCACTATAATTACTGATAAGGAAACTGAAATACATAAAGATGGCTACTGTCTTTTAAAAAAATACTTATTTTTATTTTTTGTGTATAAGTATATTGCCTGCATGTAGGAAGATGCACCTGTGTCGTGCAGTGTTCTCGGAGGTCAGAAAAGGGCATTGGATCCCCTGGAACTGCAGTTATGGCATTTGTTAGCTGCTGTGTGGGTGCTGGTTGAACCTATGTCCTCTGCAAGGGCAGTCAGTGCTCTTAACTGCTGAGCCATCTCTCCAACCCCAAGATTGTTACTTTCAAAGTCTGTAATAGTAAGAATTCAGAGCTCATGTTTTTAGGTGTTGGGCTCTCAACAACTTATTGCATTGACTTTCCATTATCAAGCATTGCACATTTGTGAAATGCCTTCCCCTTAAACGGACTGTACAGCCAGTGACCACAAAATATAATTCCCTTGAAGCTGACTGCCCTTGTGTGTACTGATCCCTGTAGAGCAGACTGAATTAAATGGTTCTATTTCTTCATAAGAGTTGACATTTATAATAGAAGGTTGACTAATTTTATTTATAATTATTTAGGTGATTTGATCTAAGGGCCATATTTGCTGTTTTTAATTTCTATTCTCAACAAATTTATCTAAGGCCTTTTGAAAATGGAGCACTAATTAAGTTTTAGGAAATAGATGAATCAGACCTTGTTCCTGCCCTTCAAAGTTTATACTCTAGTGAGAAAAATAGAGTCATTAGTATAAAATGTGGAAAGCAGCATGTGAAGTGGAAGTGTTCTTTGTAGCTTGATGAAGAACATGGAGAGCTTCATACAGAACGCAATATTAAACTTGAAAATCTGGTAACTTAAAGAATGGCAGGATTTTATTAATAACTTGGAAGGTGAGAAATATATTCCAGGCAGGAGGATTGAGATAAGCAAAGATAGGGGATAAGAAATATAATTGTTAACATTAGTGTTAGTGCCTACTCTGTGCCAGAAGGTTTCTATGCTTTCTGTCTACATAGCAGTCTGTGGTATGTCTAAAACTTTAATGTGCTTGAGATTCATCAGGGAATTCTAAGATGTCTATTTTGAATCATTAGGTTTGTGTTGGAGTGCATTTCTTGGGGTGGAGGGGTTCCCTTTTTTTTTTTTTTTTTTTTTTGAGACAGGGTCTCCCTGTAGCCCCAGCTGATTTGGAACTCTCTATATAAGATCAGGACTGGCCTCAGTCTCACAGAAGCTCCTTCAGCCTCCCCACCACCACCACCTCCCAATGCTGGGATAAAAGGTGTGGGTGTGTTTTTCTATTATGCTTCCAGGTGATTTTGAAGGTCCTTCACTGTAGTTCATAGATGCACTTACAGGGATGGAGGTAATCTCCATTCAGTACAGGAAGAAAGGAATTTCAGAGAAGAAACACCTGCTGAAAGTCAGAGTTGAAATAAGTCTTAACCCAAAGGCTTCTGTGCTCATCTCTGTACCCTGTTGCCTTCCCTCAGGCATTGAAAAGTTTTACTCTTGATTCTTCTACGTATAGAGATTTAACTAAGGTGTTCGTACCAGAGTTGAAATAAGTCTTAACCCAAAGGCTTCTGTGCTCATCTCTGTACCCTGTTGCCTTCCCTCAGGCATTGAAAAGTTTTACTCTTGATTCTTCTACGTATAGAGATTTAACTAAGGTGTTCGTACCCCAAAGTGAGATGATTATGTCTGTTTCCGAAAGCTTAAAAATGTCAGATGAGGGATAGGGAAATGGCTTTGCAGGTAGAGACTCTTACTACCAAGCCTGATGACCTTAATTGCTCCCTGGGACCCACATGGTGTAAGGAAAACCAATTCTCATTAAGTTGTTCTCAGACCTCCATGTACAAGTCACACACACACACACACACACACACACACACACACACACACGTACATGTAAAAATTTTGAAAGGTTATT